TTTGACGTACAATTTCATAGCCGACTACTAAATTTTCTCTTATTTTAAGTAACATTACGAAATACGTGTCTTTAGTTATTTAAGTTTTTTATGAAAACGATAAAGTTTAAGAGTCAACTTAGTATAGAGATAAGTTACGTTAAATCATCTTAATTTATTGTCCTCTACATGTTCCTGCTCTGTGTCGGTTCTTATTTGAATCACCCTGTATTTTTAGAGAGATGAGTTTTATGATGCATAACGTGGTCCAATTATTATATCGTTTTTGTAATAAAGTGAGACCTAATAACCTTGGTTATTACCTTTAAGGGCCCCCCTGGGGTGTGCAAACAATGATACAACGGCATTAAAGCGCAATGAATTGGCCCCTTTATGTCGCAATCGTTTAATAACATCTTAATGTTTGGGTTTGAAGGGCTCTCGGGGAGTAATCTCCCAACTAATTGGGGCGCTAACAAATTCGGGTACAAAGCCAAAACGGCCCCGCCCAATCTCAAAGCGTCGGCGACCAACATCAACTCTCTTTTTGCTTCTTTATCGTTGCGGTGAGTGCTGGCGTCCTCGTAATCGGCCAAAACGGCCTGTAAGGGGCAACTCGACAATTTCGCGTGCAACCACTCGTAATTAAACAAAACGTTTTCGTAAAGATCCTTAAAACGTTTCGAACGCACCAAGTGATAAGGTAATTCCCCGAACTAAATCATAAAAACGAAATTAATTAAATTAATTAATTAAATTAATAAATAACTCACTTTTCTTAGATTGTATCTCGAAATTTTACCATCTTTCGAATAAAAAAATAGGGGTTGAACGGGAACTTTTCGATCTGCGCTTCCTTCTCTATCTTGGAGATTAAATCGGTGCCTTTGAATCTCGGTAAATTTGAATGGTTTGGGTTTCCCCCCGCCCCATATCCCCAAATAATAATCGGCTATCATCGAGTGGAAATACATGGCCATATTCATGTTTTTGAAATATCTCTCTTTTGCTGTATCTCGAAATTGGCGATGATACCAATTCATGACGCTCACCCCGTCGGCTTCGCGTTCTGATAAATAATTCGGTAAATCGTTTCTGATTCGTGTCCATAGTAAAGGGGGGATTCTCCGAACTGGTGGTAAATGATACTGGTAAACATCGTCCAAGACTTTGTCGTCTAACGAGATTAAATCTTCGAGTTCCGATTCGGATAGGCCGCTTTTCGCGGCTGTGATGTAAGCCAAAGCGTGGAAAACTAAGATTCTTCCGTGTTGTTTCTCGATTCGTTCGAATAACATCATGATTGAGTCCATTACGGTCGATGCTAAATGGGTGTCGTTCGATTTCGTGTAACTCCTCCAGCGACAAATTTCCGCGAAAACTAGTTTTACGAAAATCGGCAAAGAACATTTTTCGATCGCGTTCGAAACTAATCTCCATTGATAGTTCGTTAGGTCTCTGCAAGCTCTTCCCATCCACATCCTAAAAAAAATAAGTTAATTAATAAAAATGATAACCTAAAAAAAAATTTTTTGACAACTGTCAAATTATTGTGACTTGAAGTTAGTGGCTGTCGGTAATACAGGGAATTTTTTTTATGTCAAATTGACGTTTTTATTTTTGAACAAATTGAAATAAAATAATAATAAATAAGCTAATTCTTACTTTATAACTTGCATAGCTAAATCCTCTCCCAAAGCTGTGACTTCAATGAAATTATCTTCAACGTCGATCATTCTCCGTAAAATGTGGTATTCTCGTGAAACTTCCGGGTTGGATTGTTCGCAAGCGCATGAAACGATGATCTTAAAAAAAATTAAATGTGATTCTAAATGATTTAATTTTAGCTTTGAATATACGCGCGCAGTTTCAATTTCATTCGAAATATTCGAGCCAAAATGGCGATTTGACAGCTCATTATTGCACGCCACCACTTATTTATATAAATAATGACGTTTTGTTACCTTTGGAGTTGTAAAAATAGCAGTAAAAAGGGCTTTAAATTCTTAAAATTCTTTAATTTGGCGTAATTTTATCAACAAAACGACATAGTTTTAAATTTCCCGCTTGACTTTTGAGCCAAAATGGCGGTAAACCGCGATAATCTAGGGACTTTATTTATAACTTCGCACTAACGCCATCTTTTGTTGGTTAGCTGTACTACATGCCAATGAATACAAACAATCAACATTATTGACAGGCGGTAATAACAATTCTAATAAATATTATTAATAATATATATTGTTCAAAATGATGGAAATCTTCTTGGTTATCATTGCGACTTTGTCGAAATCATTAACGATTGATTCAATGCCGTGAACTGATTACAGCTTCGCAAAACTGTCCAACATCATTGAAATCGGGTTTGTAATCATTCAAAATTTGTCTAAATGGTAAAGAACTCTTTTGCAAATGTTCAAATTGATGGTAATCTTCTTGGTAATCATTGCAACTTTGTCCAAATCATTAAAAATTGATTCACTGCAGTTTTAAATGGTTTAAAAATAACGCAAAAAGGTTGAGAGGTGATTACAGCTTTGCAAAATTGTCCAACATCATTGAAATCGGGTTTGTAATCATTCAAAATTTGTCTAAATGGTAAAGAACTCTTTTGCTACTGTTCAAAATGATGAAAATCTTCTTGGTTAATCATTGCAACTCTGTCTAAATCATTAAAAATTGATTCACTGCCGTTCTAACTTGTTCACAAATAAAACAAAGAGGTTGAGAACTGATTACAGCTTCGCAAAATTGTCCAACATCATTAAAATCGGGTTTGTAGTCATTCAAAACTTGTCTAAATGGTAAAGAACTCTTTTGCAAATGTTCAAATTGATGGTAATCTTCTTGGTAATCATTGCAACTTTGTCCAAATAATTAAAATTTGATTCGCTGCAGTTTTAAATTGTTCAAAAGTAATGCAAAAAGGTTGAGAGCTGATTACAGCTTTGCAAAATTGTTCAACGGCATTGAAATCGGGTTTGTAATCATTGGAAACTTGTCTAAATGGTAAAGAACCCTTTTGTAATTGTTCAAAATGATGGAAATCTTCTTAGTAATCATTGCAAGTTTACCCAAATCATTAATAATTGAATTCACTGTCATTCTAAGTTGTTCAAAACCAACGCAACGAGGTTGAGAACTGATTACAGCTTTGCAAAATTATTCAACCTCATTGGAATCTGGATTTAATCACTGGAAACTTGTCTAAATGGTAAAGAAGTCTTTTGCAACTGTTCAAAATGATGGAAATCTTCTTGGTAATCATTGTCTAAATCATTAACAATTGATTCAATGCCGTTCTAAGTTCATCAAAAATAAAACAAAGAGGTTGAGAACTGATTACAGCTTCGCAAAATTGTCGAGCATCATTGAAATTGGGTTTGTAATCATTCAAAATTTGTCTAAATGATAAAAAATTCTTTTACAACTGTTCAAAATGATGGAAATCTTCTTGGTAATCATTGCAACTTTATCCAAATCATTAAAAATTGATTCTCTGCAGCTTTAAATTGTTTAAAAGTAGTGCAAAAAAGGTTGAGAGCTGATTACAGCTTTGCAAAGTTGTTCAACATCGTTGAAATCGGGTTTGTAATCATTCAAAACTTGTCTAAATGGTAAAAAATTCTTTTACAACTGTTCAAAATGATGGAAATCTTCTTGGTAATTATTGCAACTTTATCCAAATCATTAAACATTGATTCTTCGCAGCTTTCAATTGTTTGAAAGTAGTGCAAAAAAGGTTGAGAGCTGATTACAGCTTTGCAAAGTTGTTCAACATCATTGAAATCGGGTTTGTAGTCATTCAATACTTGTCTAAATGATAGAGAACTCTCTTGCAACTGTTCAAAAGTATTCAAAAGTAACTCAAAGATGTTGAGAACTGATTATAGCTTTGCAAAATTGTTCAACATCATTGAAATTTTATTTGTACTCATTTAAAAGTTGTCTAAATGGCAAAGATCACTTTTTCAACTGATCAAAATTGTTCAAAATGATGGAAATCTTCTTGGTAATCATTACAACTTTGTCTAAATCATTAAAAATTGATTCACTGCAGTTCTAATTTGTTCAAAACTAATGCAATGAGGTTGAGAACTTGTCTAAATGGTAAAAAGCTGTTTTTCAACTGTTCAAAATTGTTCAAAATGATGGAAATCTTCTTGATAATCATTACAACTTTGTCTAAATCATTAAAAATTGATTCACTGCAGTTCTAATTTTTTCAAAACTAATGCAATGAGTTTGAAAACTTGTCTAAATGGTAAAAAGTTCTTTTTTAACTGTTCAAAATTGTTCAAAATGATAGAAATTTTCTTGGTAATCATTACAACTTTGTCTAAATCATTAAATCATTAATAGTAAACTTACTTTGCAATGTGGAGGAAGTCTCGTGGGTAACCAAGCGACTTTATTCGCATCTTGAGTCCCTGTTAATTGATCAACCGAATCCAAAAAGAAAAAAAATGGCTGATCTTTAGTGGCCATCGTTATTAACTGTTTAAAATGTGCAGTTAACGGGACGATATCGTCCGGAATCGTCTCGAAAGGTATCATAAAGTTATAAGAAATCTAAAAAAGATGTAACAAATTTAATTATTTTTTTAAATAAAATTTTACTTGTTGACAAATTGAGATTAAAGTTGGTGTTAAAGCGCTCGAATCTGGAGTTGTTCCTAAAAAGCGGACGATGCTGATGGGTTTAGCGCCTTGGAACCACTCTTTACTAGTTGACATGCTAGCGCTTTTTGCTAAAAGAGATGTTTTTCCGCATCCTCCATCCCCGTAAAGTACCAAAATCTTATCGGAATCTCCGAGCATGTAATTTTTTATTTTCTCCAAACTATCTTCTCTTCCATAAAAGACTTTCACCGAATTATTACAAGCGTGTAAATGTTGTAGAATCTCGGTTATTATTTGACCTTGAGGACTCGAATCTTCTTTCCGCATCGCTCTATCCACCAGTTTAATGATATTTTTGTAGAAGTGGGTTATGAAATGTTTTAGGTATTCTTCGTGAGTTGCTGTATCTAAACCTTCTCTCCCAATCCAATCGATTGTGTATCTTAAAAAAATTATTTTTAATTTTTTTTTTAAACAATAAATTTTTTAAATTTACTTTTGCATATTTGTTGTCTCAATTTTCTTGGGTAATCTGTCATCTCTTAAATTCGCCAATAATTTGGTGGCTTCCCCATCAACACTTCGATTTATTATATCAACAAACAACGAAGCTTTTTTTAAGTTTTGCAAATTAATGTTATTGATCATCCTCACATAAGCCAAACAATGATTTTTTGTGTTCCTCACGTTTAAAATCCCGTTAATAACCTCCCTCTCCGTCACCGACATAAAATAATTATGCATCGCGTCTCTATCCATCTTTCCTTGCTGATACAAAGAGCTCGAAGCTTTTCGAAAAAGTTTTTGAAACTTTTCCAAAGTCCCCCACCACACGGCTTGATCTTCAGCTTGCAATTTTGGAATCCTCTTTAATAAACGATTAAGTAATGAATGAATTAATTATGATTATTTAAAAATGTTGCATACTTTATTATTAAAATTAACCAAAATTGAACTAATCGGTTGTAAAACGGAAATTGGAGGAACTGCGTTTGCATCTTTCCTGTACCAAGTGTCGATTAACGTAGCTCCATCTGTCGGTAACTCATCGCGAATCATTTGCAACTCCGAGCTTAAAATGTAAGTCGGAATCGGGCGATATCCGTATTTTTGGCCAAGAAAAACAACAAAATTTGGACCCATCGATAATCTTTGACAGTTTTGGATCTCTTTCATGCATAATTCGGTGGTCATGTGATCGTCTGTTGCTTCGTCGCGGACCCCCCAACGCATATCAACCACCTAAAATTATTAAACAAGATTATTTCGTGATATTCTTAATCTTTATGAAAAATCCTTTAAAATGAGTCCAAACACCACCTATTTTGTTATTAAACTTTACGAGATATCACAGTTTTTATATTTTAAAAAAATCCAAGATGGCCGAAAACAAATGAAACGTTAATATTGGGATATAAAATTGAAAATCGGATAAAATGAGTCCAAACTCGACATATCTAGCTTTTATAATATCCGAGATATCTTAATTATTTAAAATCAAGATGGCCGAAAACAAAACACCAATAAAGACGCCATTTTTGTTTTTAAACTGATTTTTATGATAAATATAGAGTGTGATACATCAAATTAGGTTAAAATTTTCTGATTATTACGAAAATATTAATTTTTTTAATGAATTAGAATATAATTTTTTGACATTTTTATTAAATCGATAAAAATTTAATGATTTACACTAAACGTGTGTAACGAATCTAAACTCGACATATCTAACTATAATAATATTCTGGATATCATATTTTTCATATTTTAAAAGAAACCAAGATGGCTGAAAACAAATGAAACGTTAATATTGGGATAGAAAATTAAAAATAAGTTGAAATGAGTCCAAACTCGATATATCTAGCTATAATGATGTCCGAGATATCTTAGTTTTTTAAAATCAAGATGGCCGAAAACAAAACACCAACAAAGACGCCATTTTTGTTTTTAAAAGTGAATTTGATGATAAATGTAGGGTGTGATACATCAAATTAGGTTAAAATTTTCTGATTATTACGAAAATATTAATTTTTTTAATGAATTTGAATATAATTTTTTAACATTTTTATGAAATCGATTAAAATTTAGTGATTTACACTAATTATTAATAAACGTAGAACAAGTCTAAACTCATATCTAACTGTTATGATATCCGAGATATCTTAATTTTTATATTTAAAAAAAATCCAAGATGGCCGAAAACAAATGAATCGTTAATATAGGGATAGAAAATTCAAAATCGATTAAAATGAGCCCAAACACCACCTATTTTATTATTAAACTTTACGAGATATCACAGTTTTTATATTTTAAAAAAATCCAAGATGGCCGAAAACAAATGAAACGTTAATGTTGGGATAGAAAATTGAAAATCGGTTAAAATGAGCCCAAACTCGATATATCTAGCTTTTATAATATCCGAGATATCTTAATTATTTAAAATCAAGATGGCCGAAAACAAAACACCAACAAANAAAAAAATCCAAGATGGCCGAAAACAAATGAAACGTTAATATTGGGATATAAAATTGAAAATCGGATAAAATGAGTCCAAACTCGACATATCTAGCTTTTATAATATCCGAGATATCTTAATTATTTAAAATCAAGATGGCCGAAAACAAAACACCAACAAAGACGCCATTTTTATTGTTTTAAAAGTGAACTTTGTTACAAATATCGAGTATGATACATCAAATTGGGTTAAAATTTTCTGATTATTACAAAAGTGTTAATTTTTTTTATGAATTTGAATATTATTTTTTAACATTTTTATTAAATCAATTATAATTTATTGATTTACACTAATTATTAATAATCGCGTGGAAAAAGTCTAAACTCGACATATCTAACTGTGATAATATCAGAGATATCTTAATTTTTATATTTAAAAAAAAATCCAAGATGGCCGAAAACAAATGAAACGTTAATATTGGGATAGAAAATTGAAAATCGGTTAAAATAAGCTCAAACTCGACATATCTATCTTTTATAATATCCGAAATATCTTAGTTTTTTAAAATCAAGATGGCCGGAAACAAAACACCAATTGAGACGCCATCTTTGTTGTTTTAAAAGTGAACTTTGTTATAAATATCGAGTATGATACATCAAATTGGGTAAAAATTTTCTGATTATTACGAAAGTGTTAATTTTTTTTAAGAATTTGAATATTATTTTTTGACATTTTTATTAAATCAATTATAATTTATTGATTTACACTAATTATTAATAATCGCGTGGAAAGAGTCTAAACTCGACATATCTAACTGTGATAATATCAGAGATATCTTAATTTTTATATTTTAAAAAAAATCCAAGATGGCCGAAAACAAATGAAACGTTAATATTGGCATAGAAAATTGAAAATCGATTAAAATGAGCCCAAACTCGATATATCTAGCTTTTATAATATCCGAATTATATTAATTATTTGAAATCAAGATGGCCGAAAACAAAACACCAACAAAGACGACCATTTTTGTTTTTAAAGTGAACTTGACGATAAATGTAGGGTGTGATACATCAAATTAGGTTAAAATTTTCTGATTATTACGAAAATATTAATTTTTTTGATGAATTTGAATATTATTTTTTGACATTTTTATGAAATCGATTAAAATGTAATGATTTACACTCAGTATTAATAAGTGCGTAGAACGAGTCTAAACTCGACATATCTAACTATTATAATATTCGAGTTATCTTAATTTTTATATTTAAAAAAATCCAAGATGGCCGAAAACAAATGAAACGTTAATATTGGGATAGAAAATTGCAAATCGGATAAAATGAGTCCAAACACGACATATCTAACTTTTATAATATCCGAAATATTTTAGTTTTTTAAAATCAAGATGGCCGAAAACAAAACACCAACAAAGACGCCATTTTTGTTGTTTTAAAAGTGAACTTTGTTACAAATATCGAGTGTGATACATCAAATTGGGTTAAAATTTTCTGATTATTACGAAAATGTTAATTTTTTTGATAAATTTGAATATAATTTTTTGACATTTTTTATTAAATCGATAAAAATTTAATGATTTACACTAAACGTGTGTAACAAATCTAAACTCGACATATCTCACTATAATAATATTTTGGATATCATATTTTTCATATTTTAAAAGAAACCAAGATGGCTGAAAACAAATGAAACGTTAATATTGGGATAGAAAATTAAAAATTGGTTGAAATGAGTCCAAACTCGATATATCTAGCTATAATGATGTCCGAGCTATCTTAGTTTTTTAAAATCAAGATGGCCGAAAACAAAACACCAACAAAGACGCCATTTTTGTTTTTTAAACTAATTTTTATGATAAATATAGAGTGTGATACATCAAATTAGGTTAAAATTTTCTGATTATTACGAAAATGTTAATTTTTTTGATGAATTTGAATTTTATATTTTGACATTTTTTGGCCGAAAACAAATCAATCTTTAATGCTCCGATAGAAAATTGAAAATATTTTGAAAACCGCTATAATATTATCCGAGATATCTTAGTTTTTTAAAATCAAGATGGCCGAAAACAAAACACTAATAAAGACGCCATCTTTGTTTTTTTTTTGTTTTAAGTGATTTTTGTTATAAATATAGAGTGTGATACATCAAATTAGGTTAAAATTTTCTGATCATTACGAAAATGTTATTTTTTTTGATGAATTTTATATTTTGACATTTTTTGGCCGAAAACAAATGAATCCTTAATGCTCCGATAGAAACTTGAAAATATTTTGAAAACCGCTATAATATTATCCGAGATATCTTAGTTTTTCAAAATCAAGATGGCCGAAAACAAAACACTAATAAAGACGCCATCTTTGTGTTTTTTTTTTTTTTAAGAGGTCTGTTATAAATATAGAGTGTGATACATCAAATTAGGTTAAAATTTTCTGATCTTTACGAATATCTTAAAATTTTTGAGAAATTTAATCAAAAAAAAACTTTAAATCGCAATAAATTTAAAATCAGAATTGATATATTAAAAATGCTTCGAGTTTAGAAATGTTTTGAAGTTGTTTCTTAACGTTTCAAGTGGTTATTATTGATTTTTGTTGTTGTTTCGATGTTAGGAGGTCAGAAAGTTTGGTACCATTCNTTAAAATCAAGATGGCCGAAAACAAAACACCAACAAAGACGCCATTTTTGTTTTTTAAACTAATTTTTATGATAAATATAGAGTGTGATACATCAAATTAGGTTAAAATTTTCTGATTATTACGAAAATGTTAATTTTTTTGATGAATTTGAATTTTATGTTTTGACATTTTTTGGCCGAAAACAAATGAATCGTTAATGCTCCGATAGAAAATTTAAAATATTTTGAAAACCGCTATAATATTATCCGAGATATTTTAGTTTTTTTTTAAATCAAGATGGCCGAAAACAAAACACTAATAAAGACGCCATCTTTGTGTTTTTTTTTTTTTTTTAAGTGATCTTTGTTATAAATATAGAGTGTGATACATCAAATTAGGTTAAAATTTCCTGATCTTTACGAATATCTTAAAATTTTTGAGAAATTTTATCAAAAAAAAACTTTAAATCGCAATAAATTTAAAATTAGAATTGATATATTAAAAATGCTTTGAGTTGAAATGTTTTGAAGTTGTTTCTTAACGTTTCAAGTGGTTATTATTGATTTTTGTTGTTGTTTCGATGTTAGGAGGTCAGAAAGTTTGGTACCATTNATCTCACTATAATAATATTTTGGATATCATATTTTTCATATTTTAAAAGAAACCAAGATGGCTGAAAACAAATGAAACGTTAATATTGGGATAGAAAATTAAAAATTGGTTGAAATGAGTCCAAACTCGATATATCTAGCTATAATGATGTCCGAGCTATCTTAGTTTTTTAAAATCAAGATGGCCGAAAACAAAACACCAACAAAGACGTCATTTTTGTTTTTAAAAGTAAATTTGATGATAAATGTAGGGCGTGATACATCAAATTAGGTTAAAATTTTCTGCTTATTACGAAAATGTTAATTTTTTTTATGAATTTGAATATAATTTTTTGACATTTTTATTAAATCGATAAAAATTTAATAATTTACACTAAGTATTAATAAACGCGTAGAACAAGTCTAAACTCCACATATCTAACTGTTATGATATTCGAGATATCTTAATTTTTAAAAATCCAAGATGGCCGAAATCAAATGAATCGTTAATATTGGGATAGAAAATTCAAAATCGATTAAAATGAGCCCAAACTCGATATATCTAGCTTTTATAATATCCAAGATATCTTAATTATTTAAAATCAAGATGGCCGAAAACAAAACACCAACAAAGACGCCATTTTTGTTTTTAAACTGATTTTTATGATAAATATAGAGTGTGATACATCAAATTAGGTTAAAATTTTCTGATTATTACGAAATTATTACTTTTTGCGGCCATTTTGAAT